TTTAATATTATTATAGGATATATATGATATAGGTTAGTTCATGCATTCAAATACAAAGTCGTCTTACAAGTTACTTTGCCAACAGCATTCATAATTTCATTATATTGTTCAAATCAAAACTTATATCTACTTATCAACCACTTAATGCTCGTTATTTTCTTGTAAAGTGCTAAAACCCATTATAACCTACCGAGTTAATCTAACTACACAATACACTTATTGACCCTATCATTATACGACCCTTCAAAGCTGACCTTATTCTCAAGGTTGATAGTCTGTGTGGAATTTGATTGTGTCGATCACTTGGATTGTACTGTTGCCTTCGAGCTCAAATTTCTCGTGCTTGTTGGGGGGTTGTGAGTGTCCTCCCCCTGCTTAGGTTTGGGTGCTTTGCACCAGAATGTCTTTTTCGTATAACTCCCCAACGCTGCATACCAGAGCACCCATCATTATGTATCCGAGCATCCCAGCACTGTAGAGTTTGCTTGGAGAGAGAGCTGAAACGCTCTAGATTTGGCGCCGCAGCTCTGCGGGTTCGAGCTCCACAGCAGCATGATGATAGAGGTTTCAGCGTCGATAGAGGTTTGAGCGTCGCAGCGCTCCAAACTGGCTCCGTAATGCTTTGAGGCAGACTATACAGTTTTCTTTCTCGTTTATCTGAAGGATGGTGTCCCTTTGTGCATACTATTTTACATGACTTTCTCTTGTATTTTGTATGTGAGAGCAGTATAAGAGAGAAGATAAGCAAGGACTGAGTGAGAGAGAAGAAAAATTTGTACTTATTTCTCCAAATTTTCATAGTGAATATTTTTATGTGGTGTGGTTCTGTAGTTACTTTTCTTGGTTTCGAAAATTTTCACGTTAAATCCAGGTCCGTTGCATTTCTATTTTCTTGTTTGTTTTATTGCGATGTTTTACTTCCATCCACAACAACAAAGGTGAAATCACATTGCAAGATAATATAAATTCAAATAAGAAACTTATGTTGGATCTTCAAGTCATGGAAAATAGGTACCAACGGTCGAGCCACACTTTCTTCCAACGATTCGTTGGTAGCAATGAATGAGGTATTATTTCCTAAGTGGATATCATTCAACCATGTAATAATAAGTAATATATCTTTAGCTATTTGGTTAAATCTGTTGATTTCTTGCTAGTTTAGATGAACGTTACCTTTGATTAATTATCATAAGAGAAGAATTTTAATGGGAATCTTAAAAAAGCTATTAAAGCAGTAAACTTACGAAGGTATATAAAAGGTGTTTGTCTCTCTTGGAAAAAGATTGGAAGGGCTAAAAAATTAATATGAAATTCTTTATGTATTTATATATTTATTAATATAAATATTTATATTTACTTATATAATATTTAAATCTTTAACTTTTTTTTTAAAATTGTCGTTAATATTAATTTATTTGAGTAAAATATATATTTTCATGTATATATTTTAATAGATTTAGATATTAAAGTGGTATTTAAGAAAATATAGATGTTAGATATATAAATAAATAAGAATTTATGATAGATATGTAAATCCCAAAATAAAATATATAGGAGCCTAAAAATAAGTTAAAAAGAGAATATCATTACACATTTGAAGTAGTAGCTAGGCAAAAAAATAAATTAATTTAAATTTGAAAAAGAAGAAGAAGAAAACATTGATCTATATATAAATTGAAGAAAAATAATTATATCATGATATTCTA